CGCTCTGCCGCCCGCTTTAACTCTTTTCAGGTGGTTTCCACTCAGAAAACGGGCTTCCCGAGTGCTCTTGGCTGGGAGACGGGGCGTTTTCCCTGATTACGCTGTAAATAGAGCTAGTTAAAAATGGAAATCAGGGGGCTTTTTAATTAAAAGGGCTCTCCTAGGGCATTAAAAGCCATACAAAGGCTGGGGAGCGAGGAGCTGGAGGTTAAACTGACTCCTTTCGCTGCCTCGCTGGGCAGAGACACAAAAAAATCAGCGACTGTCTGTGCTGAGGGGGTAAAATGGATGTTAAAACCTGGAACGATTCGATTTTATTAGTCTAGTTGCAGTTGTTTTCTCGAACTCTGTCCTGATACCGTGACTTAATTATTTGCTGCGAGCAGTGCATCTCCTCCTTGGCTTAAAACTCACCGTAAAGTTGGCTGCCTCTACGCAATATCGTCGATACTCGCTGTATCCAAAATTCATCTTTTTTTGGAAGCCGGATTCCGATGAAAACCCTCGGCAGCCGCCCGTAAATCCTGCCGTAACCTGTCACGCGCTATTGTACCTGAACTCCGGGAAATACTCGGGCGCCGCATACCAGGGTGTTGCTGCTCCCGAGGCGTGTTTGCTCGGCGCGTTAATCGAGTATCAGGTCATTTATTATCGCCAGCCTACCCGAGGCGTGTATTAACCGCGCGCCCCGCTGAATTACCTCCCGGGGTGACGCCTCTCCGTGCCTCAGGTGTAACGATATACAACAAGGTGTGGGGCTGTAGGTTCTCTAGCCTGGTTTACGGTTGTTGTTACAACACCCGCACCAGTTCATTGTTGCTTTACTGGAGGAGTTTGTGTGTGTGGAGCTAGGCCAGATGGTGTATTGTGCCTTCGGAAGGAGCCTAAGACTCTTTTCAGCTGCCAGGTAATGCATTATTGCTCCTGACATTCAAACCGCTAATCCACTTAATATTGTTTCGTTTGCAAGCTAAAGCTATGCTGCTGCCTGCTAGATAAAAATGCAAATGCACCGGCCGGGCTTTTTCATTTTGCTGATGGGTTGTTATTTAGCGCAGGGAAGAGTTTGGAGAGGAAAAATGAGCTGGGCACCGGAGCTCGCCGGCACTTTGTACGAGAGACGGGGTCTGACCACCTTAGAGGAAGACTTGGAGTTGCGCTAGGGCTACTGGAAGTTGTCTTTCCCTTTTAAAAAGTGGTGTCTGGTAGGTTATTTGTTGTTTCAGAACAGATCTGTGGCTGGTTTGAAAAGGTGCGTTAGCAAAGTAGTCTCTTTTTTTTTCAAGCGTGCGGCTTGAATAGCACAGGGCTGGTTGTAAACAGGGCGGTGGGAGGTGGCCAGGAGACTCTGCAGCTTGTTTGTAGTTGGCCTTTCCTTTGTTTCTCCAAGCTGACTGTATTTTGATATCAATGAACCTTGAAGGGCAGCAAGTGGGATCCGTTTAAGCATCTTTTTAGGTTAAAAAAAAAAAAAACCAAGCCCGAGGAGGACGATCTTTGTCAGCAGGTCTGGTTTGTGACACAAAGTTCAAAATACACATGCTGATTTTAATGGTTGGGGATTAAAGGCGTAGTCGTCTTTCTAGGATTTGCTCTAGATCAGAGCTGTGTTTCCCACTGCCGTCTGTTCTCCCGGTCCTTGCTCGAGAGGAGGCTAGTGCTGGCTCAGCACGGGCTTGCTGCAGGTCAAAATGGAGAGCTAGGAAAGATTTCGGGTCCTTTGGCTGGGAAAATCGAAGGGAGGCAACGGCCGGGGCTTGAGATGCTTGGGGAACCAGAGGCAGGAGTTGCTCGGCGCTCAGCAGTTTGTTTCAGGCTACAGCAATCTTTGCTTTGCTCTTGTCTCTCTCTCCTTGGGAAAATAATGGCTAAACATCGTTGTTTTTTTTAAAGAAAGATGTCTAAAGTGTAAAGAATTTGCTAATGTAACGAAAGTGTAAAAGAATCGAGAGACAACTGGTGTGCAACAAACTCCTGCCTGTTTTTTTAATAGAAATATGGTCAAGCTTATCATCGTCACTATCTCCTTTTAAGGTAGTGTTTTCAGAAGCACCAAACCCTAGATGTTAAAGCTAACGTTTCAAAAGTAATTATTTAGGAAGCGGGGAAAGCTTCTGACCAAAAAATGAGCTGCTGGGACAGTGGACAAAGGCATTTCAGATGCTGTCTTTGGGGTATACGAAACTGAGGTTATAGCAAATGTGTTCAGCTTGAAAATACAATTAAACAGTCTGAAAATTGAATGCAAGTTTGAGCCTGAGGCTGTTAAACATGAAGCTGATTGTTTCACGGTCTCCTGCACAGGAAAGAGTATTGGCTTTGCACTCTATTTATCCTCTTCCTGGGGAAAAAGATGAAAGCATTTTATATTCATACAGACAAATATTTGTCTATCTTTCAGATTCTGCCAATCTCCCAAGGTCGGGGCTTGAACCCTGCCAGATAAAGTCAAAACCGCCCCCCCTCTTTTTCCCAGCCATGCAAACTGCGGGATGAAGCTGGAAGCTGTGGTCGAGCAGCTGCAGAAGCAGCAGCAGAAGCAACAAACGCCTCTGCAGATGGATTCCAGGGAGAGACAGCAGAGGCAGATGAGAGAAGCCCAGCTGCTCTACACTCAGCAGCTGGCCGTGCAGCAGGCTGTCCTAGCAGCCACATCTGGCAGGGCTTCGGGCGGCTCTGCCGTTGGTCCCTTGGCCAGAGGCCCACCTGCGGCCGGAGCTACGCGGGCTTTCGATCAGAGCAGCATGAATTCGGAGCCAGAAGAGGAGGAGGAGGAAGAGGAGGAGGAAGAAGAGGAGGAGGAGGAAGAAGAGGAAGAAGGGGGTTTGGAAGGTGGCGATCTTGAGGATGGCGCTGATGTGACTGGAAAAGAAACCTGCTCTGCTCTGAAATATTTTCATGCTCCCAAAGTTGCCCATCATAACCAAAGAGTGGCCTCTACCTCTAATCCTCTTCCAGCTCCGGGGCACCAGCGGGGACAGCAGGGCAAAGAAGAACAGGGTAAAGACACTACTAAACAACCGTATTCCGGTTCCCCGTCTGGACGCCAGAACTGGCGGTTGGACGAGCAGCTCAAGCAGGTCAGTGTTAACGTTACTTCCTCCTGAATAAGAATGCCCGCGTTCAGTCGGACCGAGCATTTCTTTAGCCCGATGTCTTGTTACAGCAAGCACCGGCTGTTCGCAAGTGCTTTGGAAGGAGTGCAAGAGCCGGGCACGTGCAGAGCGATGCTTCCCTGCCGTCCTCTTCCTGGTTTATTCTTTCATAGAGAGATTTCACAAGAACTTGATTTGCTTTACAGATTTCCAGCTAATGAGATAGAACCCCTCCCTCAATCTGTAAGAACCTTTGTGGGGAGGTAGAGGTTGGATCTTTGGCTCGTTTCTCTTCTCTCTCACCGCTGCTGCGCCATTCAGAATGGAACAGGCTGGTGTTATATTTATTTTTGGTGCAGACACTTGCCTGCTAATGCCTTGCTCAAGTTATTTCATGTCCGACATCTATAACTCCTTTGTGTAAGTCCTCTGGGAGATGCAGCAGCTTTGCCTGGATTTTTGGTGTGGGCAGGCAGGGAACAGTGCGTGTCCTGCCACTGATCCCGTCAGAGAGCAGAGCAGCTCTATATTTCTATATATGTGTGGGAAGGAAGGAGCCGACTTGCTCCTCCTTGGTTTTGCTTGGTAGGAGGTTAATTCTATGTTTGAATGAAGAATTACAACTCCTTGTAGATAAATCAAGAATTCTTGTCTTTGTTGTATTTCAGTTAATATAGCGCTTGTGGGCTGTATTGTTACAGAGCTAACCTGAACGTTTCAGAGACACAGCATTTATGTGTACTGAAGTTGAGCCAAAGGACTGCACGGTTTAAATAAAGAAAAAAAAAGTTGGACTTAATTGTCCTTTTCTGCCGATGTTAGCCTGCGTGTGACAAGAGTTAGGTTTTCCTTCAGAGAGAGTTCTTTGAGCTAAGAAACCTTGTATGGACTAAACCAGATCTGTTTTTTCCTTCCCACCTGCAAACCCTATGAAGTAAGAAAAGCTGGAGCTGCTTCGGGGTGGCCGGTGAACCGTAGGTGTTGGAAAGTTTGCGGGTGTTTAGGGCAGGCTCTCCCTTTAGCTGTCAGTTGCACGCACAAGATTATTCGGTTTATGCTGCCCCTGTTTGAGGA